GAGGAGGGGGGGGGGGGGAGAGAGAGAGCGCGACGCGCGGAGGGTGACAACAAAAATTGTTGCCATCCGTGCAACGTCTCCCTCGATACCTTCGAAGGTAGTCGATTCGAGAGCTTTGAAACGACTTCTCACCTTCGCGTTATACTCGCGAGGATACGGGCGGTGCGCGGCATAGCGCGACGACGACGATGAGCGGGAGGAGAAGGAGGAGGAGAAGGAGGAGGAGGACCAGGACGACGGCGACGCTGGTGGTGGTGGTGGTGGCGGCGGCGGCGGTGGCGACGGTGGCGTAGACGATGGCGATGACGACGGTCGCGTCACGGACGAACGGGACACCCCGTATACACGCGCGCAGGAAGGAATAACCGTGATTTATACCGGGATAGAAGTCGACTCCTTCGACTAAAACGAGCCATGTTTGTTTAGAGGCGATCGATATCCCGGGCGACGCACCCTCGCCTCTGCTGCCCGTGCTATATGCCTGCCTTGCTGGTTGGTAACGACCGATTCGCTCGCCTCACCTCGCCTCGCCTCGCCCGGCCTCGCTTCGTCTCGTCTCGTCTCGCCTCACCTCGCCTCGCCTCGCCTCGCTCGCCCTCGTCTGGCGTTGCACAGGCTCTCTCTGCTACGCGCGGCCTGACGATGCGACACCGACGCCTGTGTATACCGACGAAGAATGCCCGCGCGTCCCGTGTGCGGGTCGTGCGTGCATGCGTGCGTGCGTGGTAAGCACGCAGAAGGCAAGGGACGCCCCCTCTATGTAGCGGAGAGTAGCTAGCTAGCTCCCTTTCTCGCGCGCGCAGCATCCTCGCTGTCGCTCTCCCGCTCCAGCTAATCTCAATTATGATCTCGAGAGAAAAGATGCCATACAGAGAATTGAATTAGTGCCCGGAATCAATGTAGCGTCCGGTATGATCCGAATGCCGGGGAAACATCTGCGTAGCCGGGCCCGACTCTAATGTTCCGATATTAAGCGTCGCGTTATTGGATATTCCAATATATCTATACATATGTAGATCCCGCGCTCTCGAGTTCTCTCTCCCATTTTTATCGCACTCGCGCCTGTTTGTGCAAAATCTGAATGGACGCGCGGCGATGCCCGCCGAGGGGAAATGCAAATTTCCGCGCCGCCCGTTACGGAAGATTAAGAACGATAATGGAGAATCTCGATAATACAGAACGCGATTCGCTCGCCGCTACCTTCCATGTTATTCCCTTTTCTGTAGGCTCGTTATTTCGAATTCGTGTGTAACGCTCTTTCTGTCTCTCTCTCTCTCTCTTTCTCTCTCTCTCTCTCTCTCTCTCTCTCTCTCTCACACACACACGTGCGCACAGGTGTATACAAATGCGCTCAGTACATGCACGTACATACACACACACACACACATACTAACGCATAACCCCGAGTTTCACGTTTCGCGTACGCGAGCATCGGTTACGCCGATGCATCCGAGCTTCGTAATTTATAGAACACGATATCGCCCGTTAATTGCTTATTGTAATACGCGCAGCTATCCGTAACGTGCATTTATGCGACAGCACACGTTAAATATCCAGCAGTAATGGGAGTGCGCTTAGCGGGAGAGCGAAACCGGAACAGTACTGTAGCTATGTTCTGTGCGCGCAAACCCGGGATCTCCGAGGATATCGGTATCGTGTCGTGATAAAACTTTGGTCGATGCATCTGTGCCGTAATTATTCCGATTTCCTACCGCAGCGCGGCCGCTCTGTGCTGCAGGAAATCTTCGCCGAGACGATCTCTGACTCTCTGTTACACCCGACGCGACTCTCGCTCTTGAGGCGTCGCGAACCTCACCTTTCTCGGTAACTAGATTCGCCAAGTAGTCTTTCTTCTCTCTCTCTCTCTCTCTCTCTCTCTCTCTCCCTCCTCTTCTTTTCTTCGTCTTTCTCTCTTTCTCTCGCACATACTCTCCGCCCAACTCAATATAAATAGGCCGCCGGGTCGCCAGCTGAGTCGCTTTTCGTTCCATACAGATTGCGCAGACAGGCGGACACGCGGCTTCTCGATCGGACCGTCGCGTAATGCGTTAGCTTACAATGGGAGCTTACGCATGGTAGTCGAATAGATCGGGCTGTGTGGATGCCACCGCCTCCGCCACCACCGCCGCCGCCGCCGCCGCAACCACGGTCGCGCCTCTCACTTTTCAAGCCGCCGTGAATTCCGGATCCGATGTCGACACGTCGTGAATTCCGTTGATCTGACTCGATTTTTCATTCAATCCGGCTGCAGTTTGCGCGACAAAATTTGCATGCGCTCTGAGACCTCTCGACTCGTTTTCCCCGATTTTTTTTCAATGAATAGAGAGAGGAGTCGCCGCGAGGGGGAGTGGCTCTGTAGTTTCCCGAAGAGCGGGCGACTCGTGCAGCGTGTGGATGACCCGGATATATTTTTAAAGCGATGGAGGATGATCCCTCGTGACTAGTGGCTAGATTATCCCCGGAGACGATACGATACGGCGCGACGCGACACGTGCTCTGTGGTATCGCGCGCGTACCTCGCGACACGAAATAGTTTCACCTCCCAGACCGCCGCCTGTCCGCCTCCTTCACGGGGATTTGAAGAAATGTTCCTTTAACATACCCCGTGAATTTATAATTGGGCTTTGCTCCGAAGTTGGACTCCGCGAACTTGAGATTAAAATAAAGTTAAGGAAAAAAGTCGGAAGTCCAAGTTAAATAAGGTTGGCGAGCGTAGCGTAAGTTGTAATAACGCCATAATTATCCGAGCTCTCCCGACGACACGTTGCGGATTAAAAGTATAGAAAGTATAACGATTCGCTTCGTATGCATACAAAATGTTTGCATTTTCTCGGTGAGTAACGAAGTCTCTCTCGTAAAACAAACGAGGTGCTAGGAGCGCGTCCGAACGGCCAGACCCCCTGCGCTCTCACGAAGCTCCCGAAACCAAGCCACCAATCCCGTCGAGATAAGTACGACCCGAGCGTTGACAGATTGGTATCGTGACAGACGATATTTGAACCTGGAGTTCCTCAAGTCAGAATTCAAACATCGTCCGCCATTTGTAGACGGGAAGTGAGTGAGAAGCTGCAGCGTGCTTCGTCATATCAGTTTTAAGAGAGAATTCACATCTTGGCAGAGAAGCCGAAAACAAAAGGTTACAAAAGTCAACGAAGACTCGCGCTGGTAGTCAGGTGATAGTCGACAGTTTCTGTTTTTCTATCAACGCGAGTTGATTTGATCGGTTTTTGCCTTCCTGCTTTTCTGCCAAGCTGTAAATTCTCTTTTAGAGCATCTCTCTCTAGAGTTTCATTTCCGCTCCCACTCATGTAACCCTTAAAACTGGCGGACAGGATGCAGACCAATTAGGAGTCATTACATTTTGTCTTAACTCTGATCAGACGAACTCTACTTAAAGCCCTTAAAGGTTATTGGCGATCTACCGCTCTTGCGGTGTTTATATCAACGCGCCGCTATCGCACCTTGCGAAGTCGAACAGCGGCGGAGAAGGCGATGGTGGAGAAGGCGGAGGCAACGAGGGTCGGGGGCGAGCGCCAAAGAATAACGGGAGAAAATGAAGATAAATTGGAGTAAATAGGTGGTAATAGGT